AGCACGTTGTTAGCTTGAGGATGGCATTCGAAAGTTTAGATTCATTCATCTTCTCCATCATGCTCCATGCCTACGTGCGTTAGCACGTCGAATACGTAATCCAGACTTGGCACACTTGGCTAAACCGTGACCTTGCACCGCTTGAAACTCACCATGGTCGAGCAGCGACTTAATACACTCCGAGTGTTCAGTAGACACTACAGGCGCCTACGCGGAGAACTCATATTAGTCTACCAGCTACGGAACGACCCCACGTACACTTGTTGCCATCTACTGCAACTCATCACGAACACCAACTTTACAGGCAGTAGCTTGAAACTGAGTCAACAACACAGTCGGCTTTTCATTAAGGCTGGACGAACCTCAGCACATAGCGACTCAGTGATTTCGCCATAAGTAGCCATTGAACGTTTCGGTGCCTACGCTGTTTATGTGCTCAACGACAGCCTGGACGTTAAGAATTCTATCCGACCGGACGCATCATTAGCACTACTTGCCAGCGGCCCAGTTTAGTCGTTAACACATTTGTGAAAGAGGATAAGTATATTAACAGAAATGTATTGGAACGATCATCTATGCCATTGAAGGATATGTTCAAAAGGTCCGCCGGCATTCTGCTTACAGTGCACAAACGGCTTGATGCAATTGGCGAGCACTTTCTCCAATGTATCTCACGTGATCGCGCGCCATTCGTTCACAATATTTTCTTTCAATTGATCCAATGTATTCGGCCTTGTTTTGTACGCTCGCCGCTTCAGATAGTCCCACAGAAAAAAGTCCATGGGAATCAAATCTGGTGAGCGAGCAGGCCACTCCATTGGTCCACCGTCTCCGATCCGATGGTGGCCAAATTTGTGGTGAGGTAAGCACGCACCGTTTTAGCAGAATGTGCATGTGTACCAAACAGTATGAATGCCCCTTCGGCCTCCAACAGGGGAAGCACAAATGTCTGCAGCATTTCCAAATACAACGATGCTAGGAAAAGATAAGACTTTAGTACTTCAAAACAGCAACCTACCGGTCAGATTCCCGGAAAAGAGATATGGGCCCAAGATTTTCTGGCTTGTTAATCCGGCCCAAACCATCAGTTTCACACTGTGGTTCATACGTGGTGCGGTAAATTTTCGTGGGTTGCTGGTAGCCCAAGAGCAATGTTTCGTTGTTCCATGCAGATGAAACAATGCATCATCTGTAAAGATAACAGAACGAATATCCCCGTGATCCATAAACCAGCGGCAAAATTCATGCCGCTTCTCCGGATCGCATGGGTTCAAACCTGCACTTGAAGTGCACGAAACCTCCAAAATTTTCGTTCCAGTAATATCCGGTGTACCGCATGTCGGGTCGTGTCACAGTGCTGTGCGATCCGACGAATGCTGAGATCGGGACTTTTTAACACTTCACTGACTACAGCGCAAGCTGAACGGTCGTCCGTGGTGATGCGAGGCGGTCCGGTTCTCTTCATGTCACACACACTGCCACTTTGCTCGAACTTCTTCATTAGTTTAAGCACGTACCGGGCGGTGATGGGACGCATTCCTGCGTTTATTGCGTTGTATTTTCTTGAAGCTGATGAGGCGTTTAAACCGCATTCCCCGTACAGCCGAATAATCAGCGCGCGCTGAGTAACAGGAACGTTACGTGATCCCGACTGCATTGTCTGCTCGTGCTCCATTACCTGTGATTCAATAACATTGACAACAGTTGCAATATCTAACCTCGTCCTCAGCTGAGCTGCCATCACGTGCGCACATGCACGTTGCAGTTTCGGTCGCCTAAGCCGACTTCGCCGCGTAGCCAGGGATACGCACAGAGATAACGATTGATCGTTCCAACGCCTACGGTTGGCCACGATCTTCACTCAGTGCGAAGTTAGCTGACAGCCGGAAACACGTTATGACTCGCTGGCTGATCAACAGCCTCATGTCGGTGGGTCTTTAGAGGTTAGGATTTTTCTCAGCTGAGCCCTGCACTAAATCACTCGTCTGCCGAGAATTCCATACGTCCACACCACTAAGGTGAGAGATAAATTCATGTCTCTGCCCTCGTAGTAGCATGTTGCGAATTTTGCCAAGCATTGGATGGCTATTGGATGTTGGAGACAACAACCGTAAATGACCAGCGTTCACCATGAACGAGCCATGGTAGGTAAATGATCGCTAATCGGCCTCCTTCCGTCAGGCTAACCCTACAGCGCGTGATATGCGTACACGTCGCGTCAAAACAGCATTTTAACTTTGTCCTTTTCCACGTCCGCTGCGAAGCATATGACAACCACAGACAATCGGAAATGCACTTTAACTCGTACGCAAATAAATTTGTCGGATGAAGAAGCAGCAACATAAAGTCACTGGAGCAAGCGGACAATTGATATATGCTCTTCCTTCTGCGTACTCAAGCCTCGGCGGTTCTAGTCGCCATACACCGCTTTGTAATGGGACACAGCCTCGATAGAAGCGCACGGGACAACGCTCATTTATGTGTCAGTATTGCCCTTAAAACATTGTTTTTCTTAGTGCCACTCTTCTGATTCTGTAACTAACGCTTAAAGCAGCAATAATACGTGTCAGCTTCATCAACACATGTTCTAGGACATCACATTTTGTAACAGTTGATTGGTGAACGAGACGTAAGTATTTATAATCGTTCAAGAAATGCTTGGCCATTCGCTTCAATTTTCGAAGATAGCAAATGTGGCGCACTTGAGCTTGAGGCTTTTGAAATCTCGACACCTTTGACCGATGTATAGTAACAATGTTGATTAACTCATATATTTGTCCCCACGTTGAATACGCGGTTCAGGCCTGGCGTCCGTGGTTAAAACGAGACATTCGTCTCTTGGAGTAACCTTAATGAAGAGCCACCAAGGAAACAAGTGGACCATCTGGTCTCAGTTACGAAGCGCGCCCATGCTTACGCGGCTTGTTCTACTCAGAATACCGACCGTTCTGTGGAGATCTCATTATCACATACCGGATACTAACAGAAAGCGAGCACCCTTGTACATCACTGCTGACCCTAACCCCTTATGAACAATGCCGATGCCACCACCTGTAACTAGTGACGAAACACTCCTATTTGAATTGTAGAAAGTGTTGTTAATCGCTTCGAGTCTGTTCCCACTGGAATGCACTATCAAAACATGTGGTGAATGCACCAGACATCGCGACCTTCGAGAGAGTTCTAGATATTCACCATAGTGATACACGCTATAGAACAAAGTGATAAACTGTGATGTCTAAACTACTAACAATTCAGGTTCCAAGTTGAAAACATTTAGCTGTAATTTTCTTTTGCATTTTTTATCCTGAGGATATTGTAAAGTTATGCTATTTATCCCCTCATACATTACTGAACTATCGAATGGGTGGTGTCCAAAATATGTTCATTAAACCATTGCATGTTGGAGCTTAACTTCGCCTGATCTCTACGCCTCAATGGATTACGTGAATTGCATAGCGAAGTGCGAACTGAATAAGCAAAACCTTGAGAAGCTATGTGCACATGGCCAATACTCTTCACACGCAGACACAAACACCTAAATTTATCTGTGCGCTATCCCGAGAACCAAAAATGGTAGGACATACATCCTCTTTGCAGAAGTACTTGGTGCATGGTTTTAATGGTGACAGAAACATCATCTAATCAACTACCATCGGTCAGTATTTCCTGTTAGTTAATCTAGGAGCTGGCCTTAGTAGCCATTGCATCAGGATCATGTAACTGCCTTAACATGTATACCTTCGCTCATGGAACATGAGTATACCACGTGAAAGAATGGTCAATGGTACTACAGACCTAGCTGTGCAGTAGTCCATAGCAGCGTGTCCGTTGTTGAGGACAACTTTCTAGGTGCCGCTATATCGAGGTTAGTGTCTAGCGGCTTTCCGAGAAGTGAAACAAGGTCGGGACAGTGATTAAAATCTGTTACACAAGAGTAGAACCACTTATACTGCACGAAATATGGGATGCAACTCAGGTGCGTCAACTTCTCATTGGTAGCCGCTCATTTTCTCGTTTTCTGCGATCTGTCTATGCTCATCGGCCTACACGCATCGTCCATCCGCTACGCTCGGCACAATACTCGGCTGCTCCAAGGTTAGGTTAAACTGGGGTCAAGTCTAGCCGCACCAGTACTTCCCTATTCGTCTGACCAGCGAACGGGCAACCCCTGATGGCGTGTGTCGCTGTTCACTTCTCAGTTGAATTAATTAACTATACCTCGTCTTAGTATTTCTGTAAGACTCAACCTAACTACCAAAGCCCCATAAAGAACACATTAACAGGTAAGTCGTAGGACTTTCCAAATCATAAAATAAACAAAAATTGTAGTTGCACATTTGTCATGTTTTTATGCAGACAGGGTAGCTTTAATCAGCCCCATGCATCACGAACGATATAGATATATATATGCATATGTATATAAAATCATCTCATAGTGTTCCTGAATGGCATGCACACCGCCCCACTTGTTCATTGTTCCTTCTACTTGATTGATGCATAGATACTTTAAGACATTATTTCATACGAGTTACCTGTGGAGTTATCGGAAATACCGAATGCTTCAGATTAAAAGCTTCTACTTCTGATTGACTGTAAGAGAGGCAGCCGCGAAAACGAAACCTCAACACCAGCCAGAATTCATTGGAGCTCGGTTATTGATACAAGTAGCAGAAAGCAGCTATCTCATTCCAAGGGCACTGCAAGAGTGGTTAATAGTCCAATGCAACGTGTCAGCTCTGTCGGCAAGTCACGTAGCAAACTTTATTTCCTACCTACGTCTCGGAGTATTACATGAAGTAATTTCTGTTCATAATATCTGATTCTAACCGACGACAATATTTACTTGTTATAAAGATAACACAGCCGTAAAAGTTAGAATGTAACAACTGCTTTCCATGCACAAGAGAGACACAGTGATTTCTAAGGCATTTTTTCATTTGTGCAACCAAAATGAAGCCTCCAACGACGGTGACAACCTCGATGAACATGTGACTCACTTGAGGTGCGTAATTTTATGTGAGTAAGCTTATCAAGCAGTTCCAGTTCACTTGGCTCGCCGTACTGTATGAGTGGCTTTAGCTGTTCGAAGAACGCAGTGGTCTCCTCCATATTCGTAACGGATAAATCACCCTGCAAATGGTTAAAAGTGGTGCTTATGCATAGGATAGGTCTTGCGTACTCGGATACGTGATATACTTCGTTATGAGTGTGATTCAGATTCTAATGCAATAGCCATAGCACCGATATTAAAGGTGATCAGCACAGCATTTCACACTGAAAGTGGCTGTCCCTGCACATTGCCTCATCTTGCATCCGTTTGTTCATGTTTTGCAATTACTTAATCCAGCTTTGAAGGAGTGACGGTGCAAAGAGCCAAATAAGCGGTCTTTCGGTACATTCTGAACTGGCTTGCACAGTACTCTGTTGGTTCATCTAGTTAGCTTAACAAAGTAGCCATTAAGTGTTTTGGCACACGGAATTCACCATTAGCTGACAACGATGAACGCACTTCGCACTATCCATATGTCATTAGCAGTAGTTAGATACTAATCAAGAACAGCCATCCACAGGATGTTCAAACCATTATTTAGTAAGCATCAGGTTTAGTCCCAATCGAACGGCAGTTAGACAAAGCTTTTTGCACGGAATAAGCGATTACACTTAGAACTATTAAGATAGTGCCTTCTTTACCACTGCATTAGCCCACAGATCGCAGGGAATTGCTACACACAGGCGGATCATGCAGTTCACATGTATACTGGTTTAAGGAGCTTACATTGACAAAATAAGCCATTTGGGTAGTTGCACTCTGGCAAACCGGAAAGCGTTCTGGTTATTTTTGCTAGAAGTTGGGGGTAATACGCTTGGGCGAATCGTAAAAGAGTAAATCTAATTTCCCTTCACAGCAGCTACGAAAACTAGTGATGCGCCCAACTAATTGTAACTAGGCTAAAGATGAGAAAGTTACAGGAACTTGGACTGTGAGCAACCAGACGCAGTAGGACTGCTACCACAGGCGCATGGAAGCACCACACAGCCAGCTCTTCTTTTGGCTTCGTGCGCAGTGTTTAATCGTTTGTTATCAAATGGGGCTGGAATCGGTGGTCGCCTTCTGATTAGTGGCGCTCTACCCGAGGCTTCCAGAAGGTCATGGTAGCTTTCTAATACCTTCTGCATCTAATGGCAACTGTCTGACTATGACAAATTTCCTGTGTATACACAAATTTTTCGTTCTTGATGATGCAGGCGAATCAGTTAAATAACAAATTGTGTGCTCGCAATTCGTTGATACTCCATCCTCCTGTATTATTGAAACCTTTTGTAGTTCAGTAGCCTACAGCTGAAGATCGTATCGCCTTTGAGCACGGTGGCCGAAGCTTCTCAACATTTGAATGTGTCGCGGGTTACCTCAAACTCACATTTCCGCAAAATATAGAAACTGAAAAAGAATAAGGAGGCCATACGGTTTGAAATATTCCAATAGAATCTAAGTTTCACCGCTGGGTGATCCTTCTAAATTGGGGTTTGACACGACTGGCCCATGAGCAGTGGCCCCAACGCGGGTAGTGATGCGCAGCAGTCTATAACAGTGACCCGGTCGCTGGGGTGATAGAGGAAAAATGAACAAGCAGATTCTGTTAAAACCACAAGGTCTGCATATCGCCTGTGTATAACGATGCTCGTTCGTTTCGGCGTTATTATTGGGTTAGCTGTCTCTTATGCTCACGGCGGCGATATCTATCCTTACCGACGGGTGTACACCGAATGCAACGACCAACACATAAGACACTGTGCACCATTAATCAGTGAAGTGTTTTGCAGTTTATTTGACTACTGCTTCGGTTGCTGGCAATTGGCGGTAAAGGGATGTCAAAGGAAGTATGTGGGCAGGTGCCGGGATAATGAGTTCATGTGCAACTGGGGGCCAGCGTGCTCCTGCTAGGTTCAAGGTCATACCACTGCCCGACGATCTGCAAGCAAGGCAGAGTTAAGGACAAGAAACTGCTCTTAGGAGCACTGCGTTTCAGGTTGAAATCGAGACACTTATCCAAGACCCCCAGTCGGACATTGTTCAGCAATAACTAGAAGCCATACTCCATAATGATCGCGTGGTAAGGTCTGGCAAGATAGCCTCACAGATGACATGCACCTGTGAGCCATCAGTAACATCGCTTTTGTTACTACGTGCAATGTTGCTCCGCTACGACCCCAGTTTACGTGTTAGCACTCACTTCAATTTTCCGTACATGATCATACTGAGAAGAAACGTTTTGGAATCACATTCAACCCGGATGGCAACGGATGTTGAGCGAAAACCTTGGAATTTCGTAAAACAATCGAGTGGAGACAACACACAACACTATAAGTTCATCACTGATACTTACTTTAATGTTCGACAGCGAAACGATAAACTTCTTGTACACCGGCAACAACAGTCGGGCAAACTCGTTGACCATGTCCATCCAGTGGCTGAGCAAATCATTCTGAACTCTGAATGAAATGGCAGTATGATGAAAACATGGGAGCATGTTATGGGAGTCAGTTTGCACCCACAATTAACAGAGATTATGTGAATCATTTCACACCGTGGTTCGATCTGATCATACCTTTAGAATTCAGCAACGTAAGACACCACTTGGTAATGCGAGATGATATAGTGAATTAGGCGAATGATAGATGGATTGGTCCCACAGTGAAAATAAAGCAGAACCATTTGTTCGTGACGTACAACACATGCCAGACAGAACGAATGCGTTTTGCAGTCGGCAACAGTGGTGGGTTAGTGAAGAGGACGAACCTCTAGGCGGTGCGTTAGTGCTCGGTTATAGGAAAAACTGCGCTACTGCTTATGAAGAAATAATTCAACGCGGTCCAGTTTGATGATATAATTCTGCAGCCGTTCTTTGAGAAAGCAGTCAAAGAACGCCATACGAAATCTAAACGAGGGAATTCAGTACGAGCTGAAATCACTGGGGGCTGAGACCACTGTTATTCAAAAAAGATCATAGAGGAATTAATATCAAACCACGCAAGGTGAGCAAGTTGCGAACAATGCCAATGTGTACAATGGTTATACGATGCCCATAGTATTTGTTTATGATAGGTATTAACAACAAAACAATAGCTGATGACATCTTGATCTTAGTCACCAAGAAACGAACGAAGTGGTGGTTCTTGTTTGGACTGATGCATTACTCACATTCCATGCTTACTAGAACCGGCAAAGTATCTGCCAATTTTGCATGCTGCTGGTCCGTTTTCCTATAAAGGAAGCTCAGCTCAAAATTCATGGCGAATGACAACTTGGCATTTCAGATACTGCCACTGCATGTCTATTTCCTCCATGGAAAGCGACAATGGTACGAAATTTCACTATGACATACAGTGACAACGGTACGTTATGTAAGGCGCAAATGACCTGTTCATGGTGGTCACCAGTGTATAAGCCAATACATTTGCTGTTTCTAAACACACCAACATGAGTATGGTCCCCGGTACTTCTTCATCGAGACATCCTTGTAAACAAGCACTGTAGCATATAACCTAGTTTGGAATTCACGGCAAACAACTGAAGGAGCAACATTTCTCTTTTGAGTAAACTCAAAGGCACATCATCAGACGAAGCAAAGAGTGTAGCTACCCAAATTGTCCTGACAACTTTCTTTTCCCTTCAGTAAACAGAGGGAACTAATGAAGTGTTGTGGAGGCTTCTTGATCCCACAAAACTTCGCGTCGGACATCTATATGTTGCCATGACACGGGTACGGAGAGTTTTTCGACCACAGCCTTATCAGTTGGCAGCTCTGTCTGTCTTATCCAAGGGATATAGTTATCAGGTCGCCGACTGCATGATCGCCCTAGTGCTACCGTTATCGGGTGGTAGTTACGTCATTCTTATTGCCATCTTCATTCCGCTACCAAGTGACAACTACACCGCCCTCTCGATAACGGGAAACCGGTGCTATAAATACTAGGCTGTAAAAGCCTTACTCGAGTTCCGCTTGAGCAGTGAACGTTTCGCAGTTTGTGGTTGTCTTTTTTCTTTCGGGGTTGCGAGTGATTATGAGATGTCCGTGGTAGCCTCGGTACAGTGGGGAAGAATCGCTGACCGACTAAGTCGTCCGGAGCGGGTCTATCCGAATTCGATCAGTCAGTTGTCAGCCACAGTCCACAAGATCCGAACCGTTGGTCTGACTAAGGGCGTTGTATAGGAGCACAGGCTGTTACAACGGACTGGCGACGAAGTATTTGTGAACCAAGATCGACGAATACACTGATTTGTAACTTATATGGTACAATAATAACTCAACACGATGTCCCTTCTAACATATAAGGTGTCCAGGTCTTACATTCAAGCAGTTCCCGTTGGCAGTTCTCAATCGTTGGACCACATTGCTATAAACATCTCAGAATACCTTTAAGAACCCGGCGTTCTCGTCACCTTTGAATCTTGATACAAGCGTTATAAGGAGTTGTTCACCTTTGACCTGGCTTGACAATATGATGCGTGAAAAGTCTGGCTAATTTTGTGCAAGCTGTGCACTACCGAGCATTAAATGTATACAAGCTCTATTCTTCCGACGAACCCCAGATAAGTTTCCTTTAATGGGACTGTCCGAACGTTGACGCAGATGTTTGGCGAACACTCCTGACTGTGCAGCATGCGTTTCCGATGCCTACAGTTGGTCAAACATGATGCAGATGACTTCATCACTTATTCAGGCATCGTCAGTCGCGTGCGTGCAATTTTTCAATTTAAATCTCTTACTTAAAATCTAGCTAAGTACCTCTTCTTCAACTCCGGCCTCCGGTCCGCCCAATATGCCCACATCCGAAAGCGCCTTCTGTCCAAGGTGCAACAGGACAGCAGTTACATTCCAGAAGCTGGCCGAGAGGTGTCGGACGCTGATCAACCTCAATAATGCGCCCGCAACAATCCAAAATACCCCTGTACACAATTTCGTCTATGAAATAACAACACCCGGGCCGCAGCTGTCCACGAGACTTGTCAAAGTTAAGTGAGCCTAGTCTCTACCCTCTCCGAGCCGATTCTGTAGTGCCGGACATTTCCACCGAGACTGAAACTTCCGCCAGTACCAATGTCAACGACGTGGTCGGGTGAGGCACCGGGATGGCTACTGCAGTCCTCTACCAATTCAGGCAGCCAAAGATGGTTCGGCTGCCCAACTCGGTTTGAAGAATAGGTTCCGATCCAAGCCCAAGCCAAAGACTTGTCAGGTTGGCAGCCCCATCGGCCTGTAGGCCACATGACAAGCCAAAGCTACTGACCGCAGGAAGTTCATCGACGTCCCGCTCAACGACCGACCCGCCCGATTAAAGTTGGACAATGCGACGGGCATCGCGGTCATCTCTAAGAGACTCTGGCGGTCACTGGGCGAACAACTATTCGAGTCGATCTCCAAATTCACTATTAGCGTCCTTGCTGTTCAAGTGCAGTTAACCGGGCAGCTGCACTGCTCTGTCTCCATCCGTAGCTAAACCTTCCATTGGAACCGCTACGTCACCCAGACGAAGCTTACACTGTTCGTTCTCTAGTAATTCGAGAACATGGGCTTGGCAATTTCTCCTCCTCGCACCATCTGCAACACGGTACATTCTACGGCAATAGCGGCCGACCAAACCGTTCACCGTCGCTCACACCGTCTGCAAATAGCTGCGGTGCCGTCGGGCCAAACTGCAGTACCCTGGCAATCAGCGGAGAAGCCTCGGTCCCGCAAACACCTCTACTATGCTGGTCCGATCAATGGCATCTTCTACCTTACCCTTGTTGATGCCTACTCCAAGTGACTTGAAGTCGTGACCGTTAACCCCCTGACGACAGCCGCCAAACTGACTTCAGGCTACACCGACTTCCGGATGTCATCGTATACAACAACGGATCTCAGTTCAACTCGTCGCTAGGTGAAGAGTACTGTGGCCGTCACGACATCTGCCACCTCCACTCAGTGCCGAATCACCTACACTCCACCGGCTATGAAGAACGTTCCATAAATACGTTTAAGAGAGTACTTCTAAAAGTTCGGAGTAGGACACCTAGGATACATGTATCCAGACGTTCCGGTTCGCTTACCGGAGACGCTGGTACCATTTACCAGTTTCGACAGACGCAACGTTCTCACTGTGGGAACTCATGTCTACTCACGTGGCTACTTACCTGGGCATCCTCACTGGATCGAAACCACAATGATGGCCTGCCGCGGTACTAAACTACACCATCTCTTTGGGGAATTGCACATGAGTTCCCCACCGCAACAAACTCCAACCACGACGCGAAACGACTCATACACAGGCTCGATCCTCTGCACTAGCACCGCTGCATATTTCACTTGAAGGTTCAGGATGGAAACGGAGCAACCGGCGTCCGTGAGAACCAGCCAGCCAACATCTAGCCTTAACTATCATCGACGCCGGATAGAGCGCATCCGCCGGAGGACAAAAACACTGCAAGCGAATCCTCGTCCAATACGATATAATCTATCCTGAAAGGGGTAGTGTGGAGACCTCATGGTTCCACAAAACTTCGCACCGAACATCTTTTTCCCGTCCTCCAATTTTGGCAGTCGTCTTACTTTTGCTGAGCGTGAGTTTCCATACAGATAGGATCAACTGAACACATCGTCATATGAATTTGATTGGGACTAACATGTAACAACGCTACCTGCTTCCCAAATGCAAAGGCTAGCTGTGTGATGTAGGATCGAACTGATCTAGCAATGGTTGCATAGTGTCTTAGCAACTCAGATAGAAGTCTAAGGCGTAATTAAAACGTCAAGAACGCCATCCAGACGCGTAGCACTGCAGCGATCAGAAAGCCTGCATAATCTATTCCTCGCTGCTAACATCTCGAGCCCACAACAGTAGGTGTACATTTCTCCAGAGAACATCATTCGTTGCCTTTATGTTCTCACAGCTGTGATACGTGGTTTCCAAAAGGGTCTATCACAGTGAATGACATCGTTCATGCAGTGTAATTACTGAGTACCGGACGAATGCAGGTTCCAACAGCAGCGTCTACGTTAGACGCTGTGGTCCTGCTACCTCTCTATGGCTCTCATTTTCCAACTATTTTTCCTGAAAATTTGATGCCGAATTCCCGTAGTCGTTTAACTGATGTTGACATATGAAGGAGAAATCTACGGAGGCACGCTTCTGGTCCTCTAAGGTACCATTTAAACGTCAAGCAACGTCTTCTGCTTTGCTAAATACGGACCTAGATTTGGACAAAGCGTGATGGGCGTGGACGGGTTTAGGCTTGCCTTGATAGCCCACACTGAAGGTTGTATTTTAATTAACCGAAAAATTAGGAAACCGAATTCTACCGGATCCAATCCAACCCGTAAGAAAGAGAGCCACAAAAGGATCAAGGCAGAAGCATCAACGAATGTTGCGGCGATGCACTAGGGTAGAGTAATAAGTTTACGGAGGTACCAAAGCTTTTATTTTCTACAAAGCATTGAGCATTACATATTCGCGAAGTACTCGCCATCAACGTTCATGCACAGTTCCATGCGCTCAAACCATTTGGAGAAGCTAGACTCTGCCGAACCGGGTAACCCAACAAGGGGCTCAATAAAGACCTCTGCTGTAGCTTCTGGAAACTCGTACCGGATTCCGCGTATAATGCGCTTGACATTTGGGAACGCAGAAGTCCCACGGAGCCGGGTCTGGACTGTAGGGTGGGTGACCAACCATCTGGATGCGTTCTCTAGCTAGAAAATCTACCATGACATGGGAACTGTGTGCAGATGCGTTGTCATGGTGTAGCGAAGTCCCTCGTGTTCGAGTCTCTGGACGACGCCTGGCTACAGCTTCTACAATTGTGGCAGACAGTGGGTGGTATACCAGTCTCCAGTGAATTTGCGTTTCCGTTCCAGCGACACAATAACCACGTGACCGGTCTCAGCCCCGAAAACAGCCACCATCTGTTTGGCCACTCTGCCTTCACCCCTAAATTTCTGAGGCGGCGCCCCACAACGGCCGTCCACTGAGCCGAAGGTTACTTGGTCCCTGGGTAGAAACTGTACATTCGGATCTCATCACCACTGTGGACCACCGCGACAACATTGGAAAGTCCACCAACAAACCTGGCAAGCATGGTGCGGCACCAATTCATCCGAGCTGCTTTTTGGTACTCATTGAGCTGATGAGGTACCCAGCGTGCGCGCAACTTATTGTGGTTAAGGTTCATGTAGGATGGTGCAGATGTATCCCTCTGAGATTCCGATGGCTTCCCCTAGAGGTGCAACGGTAATCCGCGCGTCCTCCTCCAGCATCGCTTGCACAGCAGGAATGTTGTATGCGGTGGTGGTCTATACAGGTGACCACACCGTGCCTCATCATCCAGGTGCCGCTTGCCACGCTTGAACTCCGCAAACCACTCAAACACGGCGTATCTTGAAGGAGCATCCTTGTCAAATGAGGCAAACAATCGCTCAACACACTGGTGCTGCTTTAAACCACATTTGGCGTTATAGAAATTCATCACCCTCCAGTGACCTTGGCTGAGTTCCATACTTACAGTCAGAGTGTAGCGACCCTTACGAAGTGTGAGCTGTGCTGGGCTGCTGATACTGAGTCCTGTGAGTTGAAACCATTAAACGATGTTCAGAATGGAATACAGTTTACATTTTTCTTACCACGTCATCTGCACCTACTCTGTGTACTGCGTATCCGTAAACATTTTGTTCCACTCTAGTATGTGTTGACGGTCGTCTGGCGGGAGGTATGCCGACCTACCAGCAATCGAACACTAGACCGCCTATAGCAGGCCAGTGTTGTCTAGCCCCAGGAGCTGATTGAACAAGTTATCGAATACTTCGCGGTACTAGCGACTGTTAAGCACGAATCAAAGAGGACATCTAGGTCTGGTAGATGGTTTGCTGCTATTTTGTCGACTTTAATGTCCTGAGGTCCTGGTACAGGATACCAAGCTTATAGTTTGCCTCGAATTGCAACCGCTGTGTTTCTTGCTCATACGCATCCCCTTTGTGAACTAAACAGTTAGTTCTGAACACTCAGCGAAGTACACATTAATGCCCGTTTCCTTGCTTATATTACACATCACGCTCGCCAGAAAATGTCAAGGCCTTGTCGATCTCAGCTGTTTTTGATTTGGCTTTCTATCGAGAACTAGACACCCAAAAGATTCTTACGCGCTGCGCAGCAAGTCACTCGAAAAGATGAGGTCTGTAGTAGTCTTTTTAAATTTTGTATAGGCATTTGATGGGGTTTCACACCATACCCTCGTGTATACCACAATAGACATACTGCAGCAGTTTGAGAGCTCAGTGGTAGCGCGCACAGAAACATCACGCACATCTCACATTGGACAGGTAAGTGCCTGCAAGGATATGTACAACACTCACCCACCCCTAACCAGGATTACGCATGTAGTGCCACTTTAGTATGTCGAGCTTCTTAGCTTGCGTGGAACAAACGGTAGTGTAGTCGATTGTGAGTATCGAACATGACTAGACAGCTCCGAAAGCGCTATCAGTCCGCATCGCATCCCGCGATGCCACAGCTGGGTATGAGTTCAATAGCAACACTGACACTCTATGTCGTATGATCATCTGATGTGTTATTTGCCAGCTTGGAGCTGGCCACTCAGCGTACAGTAGGTGCCTGCGTTCGTTCACGCATACCGGACGCAATTCGCATCTGCTACGAAGTATCTTGAACGATCGAAAGGGAACGCACTTTCCCTAAAGAGAGATTTATGTCGCTATTAGTACAATCGACTGAGAAAGAGTAGAGGATGACTTAGAGTACGATGGTGTATGGCCAACTGAGCGAATACAGCCGGAGCCGAACGATTGGAAGGAAAACGAATTAGGAGTCGCTCACGCGATCGGGCCATAGGTGCACGTGGACAGTGCCGAAATTATGCTGCCTGACTTGAACGGAGATCATCGTGATCGAGCTAGATTGAGCGTGGGGTGTACCTGGCAGGGTGTGAGAACGTCGCTTGTAGGTCATTGAACGAAAGCACACAGCATGGGACAGAAAACGGAGCAACCGCATGAAAACCAAACCAAAAAAGGGTAGACAGTGTAATATCAACACTGGTACAAATGGTATCACATTTTGTGATTAATAGATTTTAATTGACTCTCAGATTTCTACGAGGGAGGAGAACGACGCCTACTGATCAATGTGCTGTTTTGCAGATTTACATGATCTGAATAGTGAAAATCGCCCACTAGGTGGACATTCATTACAGAGAACCCAGCGGATAGAGCGAAATAAAGTACTCAGACTACTTGACACCAATTGCTGGTTTAAATATGGTAGTCTACTAAGTAGATAGACGTTTAAGTAGCAGCTTCAGCTGCTGCTGTAGCTTTCTCCTGTCCATTGTGAACACTGGAAAAGGAAGCGCCACACCATATGGTACCTTTCACATTTGGTTGTCAACGACATCCGACCGCTGTCTTCTTTATTCATCCATATACTTTTGTCTTGTGCTGGGTTTCTATCTGTAAATCTGTGTACTCGAAGTAGAGATAAGGTAGGAGCTGTCCTTTAAAATATTAACGCACAGAGATCAGTAGCTTGCAAATATACTCTAATTCAGTATGCTAAGAACCTGCTAGTGAAGATATGTGAAAGAAACAATGCGAATGATGAGCTCAAAATCCATCTTGAAAGTGGACTAATGACGGAAGGCGAATGGCATTTGGCTAGCTGTTTGGTTAGGGCTTCGAGGCATCCACCACTACCTGTCCACTAATTTGTTAAATTTGTGGTAATTGAAGCTATAGACAACATGCGCTTGGGTCATATACTATTCAAGCTACTGACGTCAGGAAAAATGTTGATTCATTTATCAAGCAAACTAAGCAGCGCCATATACACCGTACGAAAAGAGTCTTACCACATATCCTTCTTCTTTAAATTACGGAAACGTGCCTGCATTTACACACTGCGTTCCAGTACCACCGTTACCGGTTGCATACGTGCACACATACAATGGAAACTAAGCTGTTTGAAACTGCAAGAAACAGCAGTTAACACTCATCTCAATACAAACGCGGTACACTTCATACTTGTGCTAACCTGCGAGGGGCAGACCTGTGTAGATACCGCTGAGTGACTGTAATATACGTAGACAACATTTGAGTTATGAACCAAGCCTCAGACAAAGCAGAGATATAAACGAGTTTTCAGTCTCGTTCACATACCCACTCGAATTCTCCTTCTATTGAGGGTATTGCATTGCCGTTAGCTTCAACTGTTGCGGATAACTCGTCATTGGTAAATGCAAGATGGCAAACCAGACTTCCTCTTAAGTCGGTACGGGATTAGATCCCCATGGATCTGAAAGCATGCACCATATAATGTATGTGATCTATCCATACCTAAGAGCAATGTGCTGACAACGTGAAATATCAGCTTTTGTGACATTCTATGTGAAAATTTCCAATTTGCATGACTGTAACACGTATGGCATGCATCTTGGTAACGTAATTAATTCCTGAGGATATGTAGACTTGTACTTTCTTGGACGAAGGTTGGCCTCGAATGAACTCATGGGGCGGCAACAAATCTTGTTGGTTTCTTCAATCCACGCGAAGCTGAACGCACAGTAAGTAGAAGATGGATTTCGTATTGGCACCCATGTTCTCTAAAGTTGCGGTGGTATTGCACCTTCATGTTTTATGCTTTTTGGTGCCTCGTATTCAAGTGAGAGTGCACCGTAGATTAGTCGGTGTTTTTCTTTTTATGTTTACAACCCGCTGTCCAGTAGTGTCGGTACAGGTTGTTATAACTAGCAGAAAAATACAATACACTTGTTTGGACATGTTTTGGTGTTGCTTGCACCGTTGTGCGATACTAATTGTCTAGGTGCACATGCTTGCTTGCGATCGTATGCATACCTTGGGAATGGAATTTGGCTTCTACTTGCGCACAATAAGGAACCACGTCACTGGAGCTAAACAGTTTCTCAGTATGTAATCAACTCCCTCAACAATTTTGAATGTGCAACCAGCAATTAGGTTAACAGGCATTTGAGCTATTAGAACACAGACACTCAAAAGTATTTGCAGTGTACTCTGGTTGTCCACCACTGACTGAAATCATGACACTGAAACTGGAAACAAATGACAGGAATTTTACTCCAATCACCGAGTGGCTGTACACTTACAAATGGGCGAGAGCTTTGGCGCTTGTGATTCCTCCCTGGGAAGATCCGCTGATAATTTTGCTAGTCTCTGGCTGCCTTGAAGTAATGGCACCTTTTACTTCACTTGATGCTGCTGTAGTTTCAGGGTCGCGCAGGCTGGATTCAGGAGTGGAACAAGGTGACGTCAGCCAAAGACATAACGACGGTAGAGTAGCCGTTTGATTGCCATCTATCGTTTCCGCCTGCCATTCACGATGCAGCTCTGACGCCATGGCATTGCTAACCCACGCTTTGACGGGATCACCTCGATGTAACCATGTACCATCTGGCAAACGCATTGAAGCCAACACTTCAGCGGAATGTCGCCCATTTGGAAGAGGATGGCGATATTGCAATGGTGCCACTGTTCTAGCCTGCAGTGACAGCTGCCGTACGGTAGCTTCCAACTTGATCAAGTTTACCTGAAATATTGAAGAGCACGTTGGTTTACATGCTGTTAATTAGCGTTAGATCGGAACACAGTGTCTGGTGACAAGTGGTATTCTGTTTCAATTCTTATTGACACGTTTCGGCGGTGCGAATCTTTGTTATTTTTTATAACACAAACATAAGCTACATCACATAATACCTTTTCACCTCTGAGCAATCTTGCAAGAATTTTAAGGATGCGTTCCTCAAATTGCATACAGCATTTGCACTGAATTTTTATACTCTTGTTGGACTAGTTGGCTCGATTAGAGAACAGTCGAGAAAAGTTCGAGTACATATACTTAGAGCCTCTTCGTAAGGTGGGAAAAATACCGGTGATTTTTAAATACGATGCAGCGCATGGTAAGAACATAACTGATCATTATACGGTCATAAGTGTTCTCACCTTATCGGTTGCTGTATCCGTTTTAAAACTTACAAGAAATCATGACTACTCCAATAGCTTCAAGTGTGTTCTAACGAGTCGAATGCTTAGTTATCTATCATGCAACCTATGCAGACTATGAAATGCTTAACTTATGCTATCACCGTTTTCGGGACGTAAGTATGTAGTTAGATCATAGGTAAATGTTCAACCTCAAGCAACCCAGATGGACAAACTGCGGATTGTCATCATGGAAACCGATGTTCTCTGCTCTACTCAGCTTAATTCTCCTTCAAACTTCTCTGGCATTCCGAAAGTCGTGGACAACTTTAGACGAGTTATTGATAGAGAGTAGTGACGCGTTTTGGACCATCGTAGGTGACTTCCGAGATGCACAGTTAGGTTCTTATTAAGGGAAACACGATCAGCGATAGAATACACCAGCGTTGTGTTTGTGTGTCTATAAATTTCACGACCATCTGGCTGACATAGCCTTTGACGGACGTTCGATTTCAAAACTATGGGCTGCTTATCCTCGATTATGTCATTGGCCATGCTTTATCCCTCGAGATTCATTTTTCCCTTCTTTGGATAAGTGATACACTCATTACGGGCATCGGGTGATGGGGAATCCAGGGGGGCAATTCGCGCTTCTTAATACCAGTCCCACTGTAGAAACCATACCAAACTTATAACAGCGAAATAATGGCATAGCATGGTTAGATGGAGAATTATATTCTGACTTTTAACCAACGATTATGTGTGTTTGACTGATCTAAGTAAAGCGTTCAAATTACGTTCCGTGCATTTGTTTGCCAGACAACATCCAATGTAAGTGTCAGTATTTCAACGCAATAGTTCAAATGTACCGACACGCATGAAGGGAGCCGATGTTGGGGTAGAGACTAATGGTTTTGGAGGAGGGTACTTCTCGGCCAATAGACCTGAACAAAAAGTACACCGCACTAGCATTCTTGACAGCTGTGCTTCACAGGTAGTTTCAGCTGGTGGCTTTTTATATGAGCATTGTGTATGTGCCTCAGTTAATGAAGCATTTCAGCTTTAGATCACACAAGATTTATTAGATCACGGTGAAGTAGTCACGCAACTAGCAGTGTCGTCCAGTTGGCACAGCTTTGAGCCACTGGAATCACGGGAGTCCTTAAGTACGCCAAACTTCGAGTGATTAGTAACAGACCATCAACACTGCCGAGACCTACAAGTAAGTTAGGATATCCGGTGACATTGCTTAGGGCACCCAATAAATCCTAGAGTAGAATTTTACAAATGAAAGTGAGAAAATCAGTGGTACCCTGAGTTGTCGGATTTCAATTCTCCAGGGATTTTACATAAGCATTCCACACAGACACCTTGAAGTGGCATACTCATAGTCATACTGATCTTATCCTTGAAGTAAGTGGGGCAGAATAATTTATCTGTGTATAGGTGTGCGCAAACTTATTAACTAGGTGAGCCGACAATTCGACCAGTTGAATGAGTCGCTCCTCACTCGTTGGGTAGACGGAAAGGTTTACGGAGCAACTGCTTGAAGATGCGCAAGACTTCGTTACTGGTGTTCCCTTTATCACTTTACTCGAATTACAACCTACTCTGGTGAGGTCTTTGAACAGCACACCTCACCTCAGAAAATAATTGCCTTTACACGACCTGTCAGCGTTTAGTCAATTGCTTCACAAAGTCGTCATTTTAGTCTGAACAAATATTGTAGGACAAAAAGTGTACTTTTTCATGAATCATGCAATCTATAAGCATGAAGTGAAACTTGCCTGCTGTTCCTGAATCGCTTTGTTTACGTGTGCCAGTTGGTCTAAGTCGTTCAAATCAAGCGCTTCCATCTGGCTCATGGTCGTTACAGAAACTTTAGCGAACTGGGCCAATTCCATTTGTGACGTCTTGATATCGTGATAAAACTGGAGAAATGACAGAAAATAACATTTTCAGCTTGACGAAAGCTCTTTGTTAGAAATACGAGCTCCGAAGGAGTAAGAATTCGCGCCTGAACATTCAAGCGAAGCCGAATGTGCGCTTAAGGTTGTCACTCATTCACAAACGAAAAAATGAAATAAGATTGCCTAGAAGGTAGAAAAGACAATATGCGGACATGGCTGGCAATTATCGGTGAACTATTAAAAGCTTTTTATCCCATTTTGGGTGTTACGTGAATTGAACTCGCCTACTACTCCCGTCACCACTGTTTAAGCATATGTTGATTTTGCAGCCGGGGTGTGCCGGTTGGAAGCTGGGCGAACACGACGGATAGTTGTACAGGTGTACCACTGCCGTGACGAACTGTACCAGTTTGACCGTGTCATCTCTGGTAAATTAGGCAGCAGTTAAAGCTGGGTTCGCTGCACCGAATGGCCAGGTCGATGCTGCAATCTACCTCCAAAACAATCAATCGCTAAGCTTACCTATTGATCACTTCTCCGAGCTTATAAATTGATTGCATACAATTCACCACCATGCTAGGTGGCATCTTCCGTTCGGTGATTTGCAGTGTACATCCTGCTTATTGAATTATCAGTCCACTTCACGGACTAAGGATTCAATGAGCGGGATGGACATTGCATGTCACCGCACGGAAGATGTCACCTTGCATGGTGGTGAATCTTATGCAATCACTTTATAAAGCTCGGAGAAGAAGTCAACAGGTGAGAAACCAACCCGGTCTACCAGTGTTCCAAATTATTTCGAATCGCTTAGCATCATTTGGCTGTAGAGTGACCCCTGAGATGGTGGGGAACAGATCGGTCGCATGCATTACGCTCACCTTTAGTCGTGTGTGAAATCGCGTCAAAATACTTGTTCATCATCGCGACCAAATCAGGAGTGGTATCACTCTAGCGACGTCTGTCTAGGCGAAATATATGGTATACTGGCTAATAGCGGTTGTTGTCAGGTAACATTAACTTAGGAAAATTACTTATATTAACAGTCTGCTCGGATGTTTATTTCCAGTAAACTCATGGCGGTGTGGTTACAATACAATGTAACTCAGTGGAATGTTAATCAACAATGAGAGTCCCTAGTCCATGTTAAACATGATGCAACGCAACATTCAAACTAACCGGGTACAGAACAATATATCTCACTTAACACAGTTAGGGACTTCCATTGCGCAAGCCTGACGATTCATACGTTGCAAACTACTTAACTGTTGCAAAAATCGTAATGATCAAAGCACACCGTTGGGAAAGATATTCATTAATTGTACCACGCATGGGTATTCAAACGGGTATAACCGACCTTGTGATAGCGAATCGCCTGCGTCACGTGCCAGTGCACCACGTCTGTTAACTGCCTGATGTACGTCCAGCACCGGTCAACCTTTCCTTCCATACTCTGAACACAAAGACGGGGAAACAATGAAGCATGCTAGCTCAGAATGGTGCTAGTTTTCAGTTCGAAACATTATTAGCCTAGTAGCCAGCATGTTGGTAAATTGGATGCCCCTTACACGATGTCCCGTCACCTCAGTTAGACAAAACCAAATCCATTTCATAGGGGTAACCAGTTTATCTCCTGGCGATCTCATTTATCTCTGCTCGTGAGTGCTCAGCAACAGTCAGAGGCGGGGATGTTGCACGTCAGCATGAACGATTTCACTCTAGCCAATTTGCTTGCATACTTACTGGCTCGGAGATTACTAGACCATTTTTTTGCGAGAACAATATGTCTTCTAAAGCATAGGGTGAGAAGAATGTGCTTCGTGGCACGTCTGAGCCTACACGCATTGGAGAAGCCCGTTTAAACTCTTGATGATTGTTGGTAATCTTTGATAACTAAATAAATGTATATTCTCTTCGAAGCGAGGCTTGTCGACATGGCCACAATCATTATTGACATAGATGAGCACAGGCATTTATTCAATAATCAATGTTACTTTAACGGTTTCATTCGCTACCTTACGTTGCACAGTAAGGAGTGCTCTTCTACTACGCATGATCGTAATGGTCTGCGGATGAATCATTGAAAAAGTTGCTCACCAAATGGCCTTTAATTCTTGCATTTTAAGTCATACAAACTGACCCACACGTTTATTCGCAGTGATAATGTCTCCAACAGCTCGTCCAGCGAAGGATCGTGGAAGGTATAGGGCACGGTGATGGTGTGTCAAATCATGCTCTTTTTGTGAATTTCGCCACACAAACACATCTGACATGAAATTTGCTCCGGTCTACCGAGCCATTGTGTAAATGTAGGAATGACCCTTAGTCGATTGCTTAATGCACTCCCTGTCGAGCAATCTTCTCGAGTGAGTGTGGCCGGAACAGGTGTCTAGGTCATGCCTGGTATTTTGGTGGATTGTCGAGCTGCTCACCTACGAGTGTGGACAAAACTCACACTGCCCGTGTGACCAAACGTCAGTCTGATTATTGTCCTCAAGTGCTCAATGTGTTTATGTATTGCAACACAGGCAAATTTTGGGCCTTGACTGTCAAAATTAACCATCGGTCAGTTCGAGATTTGGAAATTTAAGGTAGCTAAACCCTCCCAAGACTGAACTCCACTACAGGCTCTGTCCTTGAGTTCACTCTTCAGTTAGAAATAAAGGGAGCTAGGATGAAATATAAATCCAGTAGAATTAATGACGCACCGCACACAAGTGGTACGATGAATTGCGTACATAAATTGGGTGGGGTAGTTGCAGGACATCAGCAGTTTGCCCCTTCATTAGGTCCATGTCCTGCAGACCTCATGCCTGTGTAAGGGAAAGTAAGCACTATATGAAGAATAAGGAAAAACGCTTATCCAAGCCATCAAAGTGCGCATGTTTCCCAAATGCCTTCAGTGGGTCTTCAAGCTAAGTAAGAGTACAGTAAGAAGTAGCGTAGATGAAGAAAAGATGGAAGGCAAATCCCATCTATCCAACTCATGGACATGCCCATATTTTCATAGGTCACCACTGGCTCAAAGTGGGGGGATTTAACTACAATACTGCAACCTGGAACGTTAATTCCATCAACATCAATGTTGCGGTTGCAACGTTTGAACTCAGCTTAACCCGGCCAGTCACATCGCTCACATACCCTTGGCCTCTAGGACATTCCGGTTTGTAATATGTGGCACCTTCTGTGTGCGACGCCCATGTATGTCCCTCCACCCCTTCCGTTGACAAGTGCATTCATGGGAATCGCGACGACCAAGGCTGGTTAGAGAGATTTTCAAGGGAAGGTTGGACTAGGTAATGAAATTGGGTTGAAAATACGCAGCGTATTGGGGCCGGACACGAAGTAAGGTGAACGACGTTGAGCCAGTCCAGAATAACACAGTCAACTTGTTCACCGCTGGCCGGGTTAAACTACGGTCAAATGTTGCAACCGAAATAAGGACAAAACTGCACACGTCGCTGATGGAGACACTGCGTCCTGTGTGCAGTGTAGACAATTGTCGGTATTGGTGTAAATGCAACAATATTTCCACAGTGAACCCAAGGATCAAGGGTGCGAGCTAGGGAATACACCACATAGTGAATGTGAACGGCATTAGTATTATTTACATATCCTGTTGCGTCGAAGATATCTTCAGAGTGGGTAGTTTATAACGTTCTGATGTTCGCATGGTTGAAGTCTGAAAACCCTAATTGTGCGAAATTTGCGGTTTCGCAAGCCACATTTCCTGAGCTGAGATAGATGGTAGTAATGACATTAAAATGTCAATTGTCTGTATCTGATGTTATGTCAGTACGTTAAACAACGTAGAAACATTTCCACGCCAACTACCCCCGCATTTGCTTACGCACGCTATTGGGTCAAACGAGGGATCGTCCGAACAAGCAAGACTGTATCCAAGTCGTACTGGACAGCTATTCGCGCCTTTCTGGCACGCAAATTAAATTGGGCTTACTGTAGGAATGGTTGCTTTTAAATCTAAAGTACAGCTTCCGAACCGGCTGATGTGGGTTCCGAACTTGACAGACCAACTTCCAATCGGGTAACGAATTAACGCGCCAGTGCACTCAAATGCAGCGGACAAACATCGCACAGAGACGGTTTCTATTAAACACGCGATTCATTCGTTCAGATTCAATGACAACATCTTGTCTGGCAATGGACGTGTTTGCGAACTCGCATCTAGCAGTTCCTCTCACTCTTGGAAAAGCCTGACATGACGTGCGCAGTAATTTCGTATTCACTACTATTCAACTATCCACGCTGATATCCCATACTGTGATACATCTGACGGTTGCTTCACCCGGCAAGCTCACTTGGTCCTACAAAGCGCTTTCCAAACATCCTAGTTTTCCGAACAAAGAAACTGTATCTACATTACCTGGGGCTGACCATGCAAGAGTACGGCGCAGCGAATACCAGCATGAAAAGGACCATAAGTTGAACATATCACTCGGGCATGGCTCACTGGAAGTCGGTCCCGTGTCACTCCATTGCGCTAGACATCAGATATCGCTTCAACCCCCGTACGAACACACAAACTTACGTACGTGCAAACATATTTTGAAAACACTGGGAGTACTCACACGTCCATACGCGCTGTCAGTAACGTGCCATACAAACAGATACGTAAAAAATAGGCCAGCAACGTGATCAAAATATGTCATTTTTTCTAGGCAATTAGTAAAATGTACACGCATATGTCTAATAGCATTACGACATCCCACAACGCTGATACCATTGTTGGCTGCTTCGGCAATGCGTTCAAGGAAGTGCAGCCTCCATTCCATCTGCGTCATGAGTTTCTGGGAATCCCCGGCCAGAAGTTCCTCGTAGTGCACTCTCATCTCATTCTTCCCTCTGGCCTTCACCACCTGCCAAACATTCTCGATCGGATTGAGGAACGGAGAGTATGGGCTCAATCTCAATATGGTTACTCCATCGGATCCATCTACTGACGACAGTGCTTCCAGTCCTGTGTGACGTGGTGCATTATCACATACCACGACAACCTGCCGCAGCTCCATCTCCCGTTTCAGGTTGTCTAAATAGCTTCGCAGCCATTCGAGAGATAGGGAACCTGTGAATGAGCCTTTCCGGGTTGTCATCGACACTTTCCCTTCCATCGTGAGTGCACCGATTAAATGCAAATTGTGCCCTCTGCTGTTGGCAACTTTGCAACAGGCCCACACTCCTCTGGGCGCCCGACGTTTGCAGTAAACGTTGAAGTTCGCTTCGTCAATCCAAATGAAGAACTTGCCATCGCTCTCAAGTTGGAGAAACTGCTGAACGAATTCCCTGCGTATCCCTTTGTTTCGCTCATTATTCATTCCCTCGGGAACCTGATAGATGTTCTTCATAGTTATCAATCGACCATCTAGGTGCCGTGCGATTGTTGACTTCGAAATGTCCTTGTCTATTTCTGCTCGTACTCGTACTCGCATTTCCCGTAGCGTAAGAGTTGAGTCCCTTGCGATCCAATCCAGGATGTCATCTACGTCTTCCTCCGACGAAATCCGCTTACGACCGCGCTCCTGCGTAGTACTCGGCTCCTGAGCAAGAGAACGACGAATCCAGAAGTAGGCTGTTTGATATTTGATGTTGTTCATAGTTGCCACAAGCTGCCAGTCATCACCGTTGACGAAAGCGCCCAAAACTCGGTCACGAATATCTGATGAGATACTCTGTCGAACGCGAGAACGCATGCCGACGACGTTAGAATCATAGACATGTTTTCAATGGTTCAATTGTTCAATAATGTATGGTGGGATAAAAAGCAGTAACTTTACAAGACCCGCAGGATGGCAAAGGAAACAAAACAAAAGTTTCAGGTGCGACGCAAAAATATCAGTAAGTTAGACACTGCAGTTTGTCATACCGTTATATAATGTGTATCATGTAAGTGCAAGTCCAATAGTCTTTCGAATGTCTCGATGTTTGGTGCGTTCACCACATGCGATGGCAGTGCGTTCCAGTGCGGACAGACACTAAGAGAGTAAAAAAACTTTCTACAATCTAAACGGGAATATTGAGTCACAAGTTTTAGTGCATGGCCTCGGCATCGTTTGTCAGCAGATAATGTTAACAGCGACTTACATGGATGGTCCTCTTTCTTAGTATCCGGTAAGTGAGGATCAGATCACCGCGAAGTCGTCGGTATTCTAAGGAGTACAGACCGATCTAACGAAGGCGCAGTTCATAACTAAGGCCCGATAGACCACGTGTTGCCTTAGTGGCTCTTCTTTGTGGTTGCTCCAGGAGACGAATGTCCCGTTTTAACCACGGACGACATGCCTGCACCGCATACTCGAGGTGGGGACGAATGTAGGCGTTAATCAATAATGGCACGAGTTGCCGCTCGAAGGTACCGAGCGCTCGCCTCAAAAGCCTCAAGTTTAAGTTCGCTATGTTAGTTGCCTTTGAACATTGGAGCGAATTACCCAGACCTTC